TGATTTCACCCCAAACTCGCTTTTCCAGCGCCTGTAGCCGCGCTCGGCACCCGCGGACCGTGTGGGGAGATCGCTCCTAGTAACAACTTATTAACGAATCCCCTCAGCCTCGGAATTGCCTCGCGCGGGGTCTCGCGCTGCTGACCGCTGTCCAGACCAGCTCGCGCAAACACGGGCTTGGGTTCGCAGCAGCTGGAGAGGGAAACGCTTTGGTAGCAGTGCGGGCGGCTTTATTTTCCCCAGAAATGTTTGCAGAGTTCCGCAGCCGTGCCTCTCCCAGATCTCGGGAGAATTATTTAAAGTAGTGCCTGAAGGGAAATCTGCCGCAACCCGGGGCCTGTTTACGTTAACAAAAGTTACAAATTTGCTGTAGAATTGGAGGTGTTTTGGAGCTGCCCGGGTAAAAAGGCCGGGTAAACGTTACTAACGCTGCGGTTTCGGTGGCGGAGGCAGGAGGGTTCCGAGCGAAGCGGTGCCGGGGTGCTGGGCCCGGGCTCCTCTGAGGCTCCCGAAAGAGCTGGTGGTTCCCGTTCCAAAGCTCTCCTCCTCCTCTCGCTTTTGCCTCATGTCAGTGCGTTTGGGGCTCGGTGTGGGGGGCTCGGGGGGCTCCTCTGCTGCTGGGTTTGAGCTGCTTTCCTGCTCCCCGCGTGCAGGCAGCGCTGGTTCTTGTTCCTGTGGATTAACGCTCTGATTTGAACACTTCTTTGCTGGATCTTCATAACTTCTCAGGCTGTGCAGTAGCTTCTCTTAAATTACCCTAAGGTGGCAGTGATTTTACTGCTAAAGCTGCAGTCAGGTTTGCTGTTCTGGTGGCAAATAAAGGCATGCCCGCTCCTAGCCGTTCCTTTCCGTAGTTTCAATCCTGCTCCTCCAACGGGGAATGTGGCCACGCTTGAAATGATCTTTTTTTCTTTCCGATTGCACTGAGTGGAACCGAACGCGCGCTGTTTGCAGGGCAGAGCGCTCCGCACGGCGCGGAGGAGGAAGGCGTCTTGCAGAGGGAGCCGTGCGGGGCCGAGAGCCCTCCTGCCGCGCCGGGGTCCCCGGGGCGCCCGTCCCCGCAGCCGGCGGGTAGAAACGCGGCCGTCACGAAGCCCCCGCGGAGCGGCCGAGCTGGTGAGTGGCCCTCGGGCTCGAGAGCAGAGTGAGGGGCCGTTTGGGTTACAAGCCTGGCGCGGGCAGCAGAGCGGGGTCGGTAACACAGTCCTGTGGAACTCAAAAGTGAGCTCCATGTGCACCATGAGCACAACTTCTGCAGTTCTGGTCCTGTGCTCAGTGCCATGGAGCCTACGTGACCTTTCAGCACCCAAATAACACTTGTTGGAGCTGATCTCTGCAGTTTTTCAGGTATTACAAGCATTGTTGTCGTTTAGAAGAAGTTCTGATTTGCCCTTAGTCAGCAAAATACTGTATTTTGGGACATTCTTTAAGTCCTAGAAACCATAATCTGATTTTGCTTCAGGGTTTTGCAACTGTTTCAGTCTTGGCTTCATACTTACAAACAACAGCTCCTCGAAAGGAGGTGAAAGAGCCGCTGTGATGGTTCGCTAGTCAAGCAAATAAAAGTTAGGTATTTGATATGTCTAGTACAGTGATTCTAATGTGATTCATTCAGATCCTGCAGAACCGGAATTTACCAGACTGTTTCTAGTTCTTATGGCCCTTTGTATGTGGAAGATTTCCTTATCACCTCTTGGAAAGCTGCTGCCACTTTAGTGTCTGCAGAATTCTAGCTGCTTTTTAGTCACGCACTGTCTGATGTGCTGTTGGTGAAGTGCGTGAATATTTTGGATTTAAATTTTTATTGTTTACTTTCAGAGGAGCAAGATGGAGAAGATATGGAGAGGAGGAAGAGGAAGAGGAAGGCAACCAAGCGGAAGAGAGAAGGAAAAAGCCAAGAAGAGGAAGGGTCTTTGTCCTGTGACATCAAGCTGGATGACACCCTGGATCGCACCTTGGAAGACGGCGCCAAGCAGCACAACTTGACCGTCGTCAACGTGCGGAACATCCTGCACGTGAGTGTGGCGAGGCCGTGATCAGCAGTGCAAAATCAGCCCGCTGTTTGTTTAAAAAGTGTGACCCAGACCTGAGTATCGTACGTAGGGTAGTGCCTGATTGCGTTTGCAGCTGGTTTATGTCAGTCTTAATTAAACCGAACGTGAAGGGCGCTATTAAAGAAGTCGTATGTTCCTGCAGGAGGTGATCACAAACGAGCATGTGGTTGCCATGATGAAAGCAGCCATCAGCGAGACAGAGGATATACCTTTGTTCGTAAGTAAAAGCTTTTTCTGCTTATCTAAACACGATACCTCTGTCAGTCTATATGCTCTGTGCATCCCATGAGTGAATAGTATCTATGTGTGAATGTTAATAATTAAACAGAACTATCAGGGGTTATTTCCCATCTATTCTAAAGGATAACGAGCTCAAAAATTTCCTAGTCTCGCTAGTAAAGAGTTTTGGGGGAAAGTTTGCAGTTAAACAGCTAAACAGGTTGCACTTTTCTCTCTCCAACTCCCAGGAACCCAAGATGACTCGTTCCAAGCTGAAGGAGGTTGTGGAGAAGGGAGTGGTACGTCCTCTGCTTTTACTGTTGTGGCACTTCCCCTCCCGCATCCCTCCCAATACAACTGCGTTTGTTTCAAGTCTGTTGTTACTCGATTATTTTGGAAAGCAGGATCCCAAGCTCAAGCAATCCCTCATTTCAATGCTGTGTTCAAGCTTTTTGAAGACAGCTGATACGTATTTTGCTCTCTTTAGGTGATTCCAACGTGGAATATTTCTCCAATCAAGAAGGCGAATGAGGTAAAGGTAAGCTGGAAAAACCCTGGGAAAGTGGAGAAGGTGCTGGAGGTGCCCTGCTGAGCAGGGGAACCTTTCCAAGTGGGTACCAGGCTTGTACCTGGCTTCGTAATTCTCCAGTGCAGAGTTATCCTGTGAAAGCTTCATCTCTTTTCTGGTCCTTTGCAGCCCCCTCAGTTTGTGGACATTCCTCTCGAGGAAGATGATTCATCCGATGAAGAATACCAGCCCGAAGACGAGGATGAGGACGAGACTGCGGAGGAGGTGAGCGGGGCCGCGGCGTCCTGCTCGGGGCCGCGTCCGCGTGCTGCTCCGAGGCAGCCTGACGGGATCGTGCTTCCCTGCGGCACTGCAGAGCCTCTTGGAGAGCGACGTGGAGAGCACGGCCTCTTCTCCCCGCGGAGCGAAGCGGTCCAGGACGCGGCGATCCTCTGATGAGGAGGGAGGGACCCACTGCGAGGTAAGCTTCAAGCAGACCCTTTGCCTTCTTAGGAAACAACCTTAAATCACTGCTCTTAAATCGCTGATGATGGGGGAAATGTAGTAATGTCATGGTGTTACGTTGATTTGGGACACTGCAATGGTCCCTGTATAAGCAATTAGGCACAACCTTGCCAGGAGGAGCTTAGTCTTAATTAAAAAGCAGTGCTAGGCTCAAGAAGAGGGTACTTTTGTTGAAAGCATAAAGATATTTGTGGTGTCTGGGCACACTGTCAGCTTGCTGCAAGGCGCATGGGCAATGCGATAAGAGCAGAAAGTGACTATCAGCAGAGAGGAATGAGAAAGTAACTGTGTGTTGTGCCAGAGTCGGGTCAAACAGAGAGAAAAAGCTTGTCTGCTTATCTTGTCCTTGGAAATTTATGTTCTAAATAAAACCTTTAACACAAAGGTGTTTTTAAATAGACAGAGAAGGCCCCTACACCCGTGGTTAGACATATTAGTGCTGAAGTGGTTCCCATGGGACCCCCGCCGCCTCCTAAACCCAAGCAGAGCAAGGACAGCACGTTCATGGAGAAGCTGCACGCCGTGGATGAGGAGCTGGCTTCAAGCCCAGTGTGCATGGATTCCTACCAGGTAACATGTTCAGGGTGCTGCAGTCAGGTTTGTTCAGTTCAAGTGAAAATATTGCAGAAAGAAGGTAGCTCTCTAGTCGTTTCTGCTAGTAATGCTGCTGAATTTTGTTCTCATTTCATACATACAAGTTGAATATCATGACTTGAAGCTAGCTAGTGTGTTGGACGAAAGCTCAGAGAGTCAAAGGAATTGTCAGCAAAGAGTTATCAGTGATAAACACTTCCAATTTCTTGTATATTATCTGTACTTTAGTGTTATGGTCATACTTTTCTCAGTTCTGTTGTAACTGTTCCATGTAATCTTACAGCATTTACATAATTAAGCTATTTTTCCTCTTTAAAGACATCCTGTCAGCCCCAGTTGTGTTTTGCAAGCCAGTATGTTATTAATGCTTGAGGAAGTTTGGTTGTAAATAAAAGCACTATTCGATATTCATAATGAGAAAACTATGACTGATCCTTGTTACTACACAAGGATAAGGAGTTATGAGGAAACAGTCCTGTGCTGCTGCTCAGGAACGCACCAAACTTCATGGCTTTTGCAGCAAGAGTCTTTAATCTTGGATTTTTGGCCAGACTGAAAACCCTCCTGTCAGGGAAACTGGAAGAATGGTGGAGGAATCGTAACTGTGTTGTGTTTTTCCTGGTTTTTCAGCCCCTGGAAGACAGCCTCATCGCCTTCCGGACGCGCTCCAAGAGGCCGCTCAAGGACGTTCCGCTCGGGCAGCTGGAGGCCGAGCTCCGGGCCCCGGATATCACCCCGGACATGTACGACCCCAACACGGCGGACGACGAGGAGTGGAAACGGTGGCTGGGAGGGCTCATGAACGACGACGTGGAGAACGAGGGTACGTGGGGCTTGTTGCTGTTCGCTGGGTTTGGGGGCTGAGTTGAAAGCCAGGAGCTTTCGAGCCTTTTCTGCATTTGTTAAGAACGTGTTTCTTATTAGATGAAGCAGATGATGATGATGACCCTGAGTACAACTTCCTGGAAGATCTGGATGAACCAGACACAGAAGACTTCAGAAATGACCGTGCTGTGAGAATTACCAGTAAGTTCTTCAGAATTAGTGATTCATTGTGCAGAGCAAAGAATGAAGAGTGGCACTTAGGGCTGTTCTCTGCCTTTCATAAAGATTCAGCCAAGTCAGAAATTGAATGCCTGCCTCCTGACTTGAGTATATTAAATTTTCTGTAATTCATTATAGTCTGAGTTAGCAGACTTATGATCATATCACTTATTACTCTTATAAAGTGTACTAATTTTAGATTTTATTATAGACTGACATAATTTATTTTTTTATGGGTTATATATTTGAAGCAAAACATTCTCTTTAAGTCTGCTAACTGGAATTTTCTGGGGCACAGCCATAGGGAGCAGTAACTCTCCTTCCTGGCCCTCTGTTTGGGCTACGTTTTGCAAGAGAGATTCTGTCAATAGCTTGGCATTATGATGGGATTGCTAAGTAGCTTTTGGAAAAAGGAAGCTTCATATGTCTTTTAAATTTTGCTTGCAGAAAAGGAAGTGAATGAGCTGATGGAGGAGCTGTTTGAGACGGTGAGTGGTAAATTGGACGTAGCACCGAGGAATGGACCTGGCTCCAATCTGGTGTGAGATTTCTGCAGATGTAAAGGGGGGAGCTCTGTAAGACGTGCATTGGTGAACACACGAGAGGGGACCCTCCCAGCAAAGTGTAGTCCTAGGGGGAAGGAGCTCATCCAGGACCTGCTGTAAATGTCTAGAGAAGATGAAGGTATTTGCTAAGATGGTTGGCAGTGCATCGGGGTGAGCTCTGAGCTAGGGACCGTGTTAAACCCCTGTGAGTTTTCTGTTCTTGACGCCCACGGCCCATCTCTCCCCAGTTCCAGGATGAGATGGGTTTCTCTAACATGGAGGATGAGGGTCCGGAAGATGAAGATAACGTCACCGAGACACGGCCAAACTTCAACACGCCGCAGGCGCTTCGGTAGGATCCTTGGGTGACGTGGGCTGGTGTGGATGGTGCCTCCTTGTTTATGGGGCAGACCAGCTCCAGGTCCAGCTGCGTCTGTTTGGGAAAGGAGCTAAAGTGACAGCTGGGGTTTTTCTGTCACTCTCTCTAGATGAGCAGTACTAGAGATGAGTGCAGCAGTTATTTAACCAGCTACAGACTGAAAACGGAGAAACCTTTATGCTATCTGTAAAAGAGATCCCTGCTATGTTATAAATATTCTGTTTTATTTCTTCAAAGTTGAAGTATGCTGTCAAAGTGGTAGAGGGGGTTGATGGCTCTTCACCTGTGCAACACAGATATTAAAATGTTTTAATTGGTTGTAGCAATCGTTAAATCATACTTACCAGAATTCTGTCTGCTTAATACCAAACAGATTTGAAGAGCCTCTGGCCAATTTACTGAATGAACAGCACCGGACAGTGAAGGAGCAACTCGAGCAGTTGAGAATGAAGAAGTCTTCAACCAAGCCTGCACAAGAGATGGAGAAATCAAAACCTCAAAATGAGAAGCCGCTCCAAAGCCTTGTGCTGGACAGCGTGCAAAGAAAGAGGCTCCAGCAGCAAATGCAGCAGGTGATAAAATAGAATCTATCAAGTTTATTAACTTACTGCAGTATATAGCAAATATTAAGGGGGAGGCCAACGGTACAGCAAGCACTTCAGTGCTACGATACTACTTTGAGAATGTTCTAATGCAGTTGATACCTTTTTGTTTGCTTTGATTTGAGGAACACTCAGAAGATTTCTTGTGCCTCTGCCTTTATGCTTTAGGCTGCTTTTGAGTTTCAAAGATTATTGATGAACTAAAGAGGAAAATAAAAAAGTATGTCTGATTTTATTCTTTCAGCATGTTCAACTTCTGACTCAAATCCATCTTCTTGCGAGTTCCAACCCTGCTTTAAATTCTGAGGCCAGTACCACCAGGATGTTTTTGGTAAGGATATGTCTAAAAGAAGAGCTACATCAATTTTAATGATCAGCAGACATATTTATAGATTTTTTTCTTAAAGAATGGGACCAATTAAAACCCAACATCTTTATCTCTGTTTGCAGAGTGAGCTGGGTAACTTTGCTCGCAGTTCTACGCTCCTTCGCCAGTCCTTCAGCCCCAAGTTTCAGACCATGTTCCAGCCCTGTAACTTGAAGGGAGCCCTGCAGCTCGTTGAAGACTTCCATGCCCAGGTCCAGGTTGACTGGAGCCCTCGCAAATCCGTGAAAAAGAGTGGTGTGTATGGGAAGGGAAGGGAAGCACTGCTACATTTTCATAGGCCAATTTGGAGAGGGAAAATAAGAGATTGCATGTTCTGAGGACCAAGTTGAAAGCAGTAGGGGAAATAAACAATTTTTACAAATTGCTAGTAAACAACAGCATTTGTCCAATTCTTTTCGCAGCCAATGAATTCCCATGTTTACCAAAGCAAGTGGCATGGATTTTGGCAACAAGGAGAATCTTCATGTATCCTGAGTTACTGCCAATATGTTCCTTGAAAGCAAACCCTCCTCGGGACAAGATTATCTTCACCAAGGCAGAGGACAAGTAGGTGTTTAAACCTAGTGAATAAAACACGTACAAATGAGTGGGTGTTGGAGAATGACTAGGGTGAAGCTCTGGGGGCATCGGTGTATTGTGGAACAAGACATCCAAACAGCAATCTGGAGGACTCTAAAAGACTCTTTTTTCACTCCTCTGCCCCTCTCTCCCTTCAGTTTATTAGCTCTAGGTTTGAAACATTTTGAAGGGACAGATTTTCCAAAGCCTTTGATCAGCAAGTATCTTTTGCCAACAAAAACTGCCCACCAGTTGACAGTGCGGATCAAGAACCTCAATATGAATCGAGCCCCTGATAACATCATCAGGGTGAGTGACACTTTCAGATTATGTTTTGATATTTCTTGGATGTATTTGTCTCTTTGGTCATACAAAAAGAGGTGTGCTTTTTATTCCAAGGAGCTCTCTTTTCGTTTGTATCCATGCTGAACCTTTCCTCATGTAATCCCTCTATTAGGGACGAGAACTTTAAAAAGCCCTTTTTTGTCTTGCGTTCCCTCCCCTCCTTTTCCATGCAGTACTATAAAAAGACAAAGCAGTTGCCCATCCTGTTCAAGTGCTGCGAGGAGATCCAGCCTAACGAGTGGAAACCACCCATGGAGAGAGAAGAACATCGCCTGCCCTTTTGGCTGAAGGTACCGTTTCTGGTGTTTCTTCATGCAGCATGAGAGCTTTCTGCCTTACTCCCAGAAGCAAAGTGCTGTCTGCCTTTAGCAGTGCCGTGTGAGCGCCTGTGCCGTGGGCTAATGAGCTCTTGTTTCCTTTAGGCAAGCTTGCCCTCCATTCAGGGGGAATTGAAGCAATTAGCCCAAGATGCCCGGGAGATGCCGGCTTCGCCTGGCGCAGAATCTGTCTTTTTGGGGGCAGAGAAGGAAACTTCAGACACGGAATGCGATGAAAAATACCCTCTGCTCATGCCCAAGGGACTAGTACTGACCTTGAAGCCGCTTGCCAATCGGTTTTCCAGGAGAGCCTGGAGGAGGCAAAGGTCTTCAGCTCTGAAACCTGTCCTCATTCGGCCAAATCCTTGTCTGCAGCCCAGTTCCAACACTTTGAACATGCCGAAAACTGTGAAGTTGTCCCAGTCGGAAGCTCCTCCCAGCAAAGTCATGGTTCAGATTCCTCGGCTGATCCAGCCGGCTGCGGTGGTGCAGGCTGTCCCGGGAATGCAGCCCTTGAACGTGCCGGCAGTGGTGGGAAGCGGGGAGGCCCTGGAGTTCCCGAACGTGCTCTCTGCTTCCCAGCCTGACTCCAGAGCGTCTCTTCCAGCCGCTGTCCCTCAAGCCCTGGTGTCCTCGAGCCCTGTGACTCTTCAGCCCAAACTGATACTGCCGACCTTGGCCGGACCGAAAACCCGCAGGCCTGGCGTGCGCAAGGTCTACCAGAAGAAAAAGGGAGCCAAAGCTGCGCCCGTGATCAAGACGTCGCCCTTGATCCAGCCATCTCCCGTCATTCTCACGGTACCTGCCACCACCGTGAAAGTGCTCAATATTGGCAATGGCTGCAATATGATTCAGCCCATAAATACGACAGTCGGTAGAGGCACTCAGGCTATTCCAGTTACAACCTTATTGGTAAATCCATCCACTTTCCCCTGTCCATTAAACCAGCCTCTAGTGACTTCTTCAATCCCTTCGTTAATAGTCTCTCCTAACCCTGTTGGTCTTTCTGCATCATCTGTTGTGGAAAGTGAAGAACAGCTGAATCTGGCTCCTTCCTGCCCTGCCATAACTAACAAAAACATCTATCCCATGGTAGAGCCCAAGGTGGAACCCCAAGAGCTGCACGTTTCCTGCTCGGTCGTCTCCCCCAAGAAGGACCGTGGCACCAATCCTGTGGCTGCAAATAGTGGCAGCCAGGAAAAGGGGAATAAGAGCGACTGCTGTGGCTGGGCAGGGTGGGAGAAAGGGGAGGAAAA